GGACTGGCTAATATGGGATCTTTAAGAGTTCATAACCAGAAGATGCATTTCGTAGGGGTTTGGCCTTTGAGGACATGGTATAAAATCCAGGTTGGTTGACTTTGTTTCATACTGCCAGATCTTTTCTGGAAGTGGACCTGCCTCTTTGAACCCTTTATAGGGCACTCCTTGAAATACTTGGAAAATGAACATTTCAATCCTAGGGTGTTATTGAACGATATTTCTAGATATTTTTACATTTGTGACTTTAAAAAGCAAATTAAGATTAATAAAGTTACCTTTATGTTAACTTGCCCATCTATGGTTAAAAAAGAGAACATAAAGAACAAAAAAAGGATAAATAATAAATAAAATAATAGTATAAATAATAAATAAAAGAAAAAGTAACAAACTGCAAAAAACATTTAGTTAGAAAACATTTTAGTTTGAGGTAATGATACACAACCAGTAACAAAGTATTTATAAAGTGTTTGGCAAGTCCATCTAGTAACATATTTCTTTGGGTAGTGGTACTGGTGGCACTAATCTCAGAACAATAAATCAAAGTGGAGTTCAATGCAAACCACGAACAAAGCATTTATAAAGTGCCTGGAACCTTTGTTTAGTGACATTTTTTGTAAGGTAGTGATATTGGCACTAATATAAAAACTAAATCAAAGTGCACATGGCTCCTCAACCTCAAGGAGAAGCACAGGGTGGACATATTGAACGTCCAAGAAAGTTCATATAGTCACTTGCATCATAAAGGGTTAAAGCAATCTTGTTCTCTCTGCACCAGAATTCCACTGGAAGCTTTCACACCACCCTTACCAGACCGAAAACTGCACAAACACAGCAGTCAGTGGTGAAAGCACTCCAAAAGTCCACAGACAGAAGTGTCACAACAATGCTGGCAGTTACAGCATTTTGTTAGTTGGACACACATCAGTATTTTTTTTTTCTCTTTTACTTGCTAAAAGCAGCACTTTGATGTTTCTCTTGTTCTTTAAAGTGCTGCTTCAGTGACGTAAACAGAAAAGAAAAAGAAAAAAAAGCAAAGAAAAGAATGTTGTTCACTCTTTCCACTGTATTGATTTCCACTGAGCTTCACAACAAAGTCTTTATCATATAGTACCTATTGAATAGCTGTCATGGACCCTAGCTTTATCTTGTTTGACACAATGAGTTTTGTTTGTGCTCTGAGACTATGTGCTTGTTTTCTTGTGGGCACAAAAACATTTTATATATCAGAAAATGACAAATGGTGTGTTAATGCCCAGATATGGGTGCGCTGATGGAGGAGGAGGGATTCTGCTTTGTGACGCACACTTTTTGAAACGAAGCCTGGATCTAACCACAAACTATGAAACCAGCACAAACACATAATAAAGTCAGCGTCATTCAAAACTGAAACCAACACATCAGCAACTCGGAACACTTTTTTTTTTTTCAAAATTAGTTGATTAAAAAGTAATTTCCTATAACCCTTTAATTCCAGAGGCACTCTCAGCTGACTATATTAATTAGCAAGCTCCTTTTTACTCACTCTCCTCCCCGCCCCGTTCCACTCTCGTCTCATTTTTTTCTGGGCGTGAAAAAGAGCTCGGAACAAAGCGGCACGGATGAAATGAATTGTTATCCCCAGCTAAAGCCCCCAGAAACCTCTCTTGGCCGTCAGATTTCCTCTCAGTGCCTCTGCCTGTCGCCATTGTTCTTTGACACTGTGTGATATAAACGCCACTGGCAGCCCTGATTATCCCCCACCACCCAGTCCATCTCCGGCAGCACTCACTGTATCACAGCTGCAGTTCACTTTCTAAATATAAAATTTATTACAAAAAAAGGAAACATTAAGGCTGCTCTCTGGGTGTCTGCTGAGTCTGTTATTTATATATATATATATATATAAATCAAGTAATTCCACATTCCTTTTATTGCAACATTAAAACAGCTCAACTATCACCATCATCTTGTCCATGTCCTTTCATGTTGGGATTAAGCGTGTCTAAAGTCATTTGCTTTTGTCTGACTCCCCTGACTGAGGCCCCGAGATGCCCTGTGGCCAAACTGCCTGAGCTGCATTGACAGCGAGAGGAGGAAGGATTAAGTGGAGTTAGACTGTGAGACAGATGAGGAAGATGACAAGGAGGTGAGGACGGTTTGTCGTGAGGAGGGGGATTCCTGAGAGACGTTTATAACGTGCAAGTCACGTGACAAGTGGCAGCATCAGCGGACACCGCTTGTTTGGAGTAGCTTTGTGTCTGTTTGCAGGTTAAGAAGGTTGTCACTGAAGATGCTCGTAACACAACTATCTTTGAACAGATGAACAGTCTCTGCAGCAACGGTAAAAAAAAAAAAAAAAGCACACCTTAATATATTCTTTGGTACTTTTTGGTTTATTCAGTTTTCACAAAGCACGGCCTTGTCAGTGTGATTCAAATGTAATCCATGCAAAATGTTATAAATTAAAATCCTAGTTATGGGAGAGAGGAGACTTAAAAAACCACCACCGCTAGAGCATGATCTTTTTTTACATATCAATGAACATCTATTACTATCTCACCCTTGCCGAACACGTTTACGCAATGCTGATTAACACTATGACCCCAAAGCTAGTTTCAAGGTAATTTCGCCGCCTTTACATTAAAGCTCTTATCTTAGCGACATGCTGCATCTTGATTTTTCTGAGCACCGTCGGCTATCCAGATCTTCACGATTTGATATGATATTATTACTACGTATTTTCATATGAGGCTTGACATAAAGAAAAAATATATTTCATATCATGAAAATGTTGTTTTAAATGTATCTCACCAGAATACACTGACAGCAGAGATATCTTTTCATATGTGTATAGCAGAGATTGTCTGGAGTCTGACAATATCAGGACCACAATGCCGCATGATTTTGACACTGGGAAAAATGTGTGCCTAGCACCTAGCGCACATAACCGTCATTATTTTATTCAGTGAAGTGTTCACATACAATAGTTTATACCTGGGATCGCCACCGCCTTCTTCTGCACAGTTGACCTGTACTCAACTTTTAGCTTTTGAATCACTTTGATGAAAAGCAAATCCATTGTTTTGTGTTCATTTTTCATCCAAGGTTGGATGTAAGGTCAGCCTTTTGTTGGCGTCAAAGCAGACATTTGCTGTCTCTTAAAAACGCATTATTCTTTAAACGACTAGACTCATCAGACAGGTTAAGTTCTGCTGCTTTTTTTCAAGTTGACATTGAGATGGCTTATGTTATAAAAAAAAATCAAGACTTTGTTGTTCATTCAAGAAGTTGGAGTGTGCAAGTAGGTGGAATTATTAGTAAAGGTATTACTTTAGAGAAATTTGATCTGCCTTCCTGACATTATTATTTTGACATGTGCAGAAATGTAACAAGCATACGAAGTTAAGCTGCAATGATTGCATTGCAAAGGTGTTAACATATCTATGCGATGTCGGGTTCATGAGTAATTCATTGAGAGTGTGGAAACAGAGCTGTAAGCAGGTTGTAACTATGATTAACTATGTTTTTTTTGTCACAAACACCAAGACGAGCAATTACCTTTGTTGGAAAGTCAAGTCGTGCAGTTGCATTTGTTATGCTCTACACCTCACTACAATAAATACCACCGAGAAAAAGGGATGGGATTTTTTTTTTTTTTTCCATTGGGCCCAAAGGGTTAAGCCAATCACTGTCAGGTAGCCCATTATTCTACTTTCTGTGGCAACATTCCCACAGCGGCACATTAGTAGAGATGTATTTTACGCCAGTCAGCAATGAGTGGTTTGTCAGAGCTGAGGAGGAGAGGAACCGTAATGACAGAGACAGAACAGGCTACAGCAACGAGCGGTATAGCAAAGTCTAGGGCAGGAAAAAAACTCTCTAATGCTCCAGATAAAAAAGAAACTCTATGTTCAGAGGAAGGATTACAGAACGCTATCAGTGGCAGTGTTTGTGTAATTACTCTCACTGCCATAGAGAGGAGACAAAAGTTTCACTCTTCAGATTCACTCATTTCACTTGTCTGTGCTTTGAACATTGTGGCTGCTCGGTAAAAGCTTGTACATCCAGCAGTAACCAGCCAACAGCGACCAGGGCAGCGGGCGAGCTTGCTACTGATAGTGCTGGCTCACTATCCTCATCAGTCACGTGATCCGCTATCTGCAGGTCAAAGCAATCCCTAGAGAGTCTTCATAATGAGGAGGCACAGAGGAGCAGCGATGTCTGAGAAGTGGAGGGAAAGTTGACAAATTTGCATAACTCCCACATATGCACATTTTGAGGCAGACTATAGGATCTCTCCGTGTCCTGCTGAACACCGACGGGGTCGCAAACAACTTTCTCACGGTCATCAACCAGTAAAAGTGCTGAGGTTGCCTGCCAGTGATGCAGAACACTGTGAAACGCCTTGTAACCATGACACAAACGTACTTCTTGGAGTTATCACAGAACAAATGCATCCATTCTTCAAGAGTGCATTGCTCAGTGACTCATGTCATTTAAATTTGGGCCGAGTTTATTACATGCTATGTGCCAATGAGACACTGAGGGCAGTGAGTGCAAAAGCATAAAAAGGCATGAGTGTTCTGTGCACTTTTGACCTGGTTTGAGCTTGAAGGGAGTTCTTGTAAATTCCAGTAATCCTCAACACCCCCAAGTTAACTGCACAGCTTATCAATCCTCACCCACCTTGTACAGCACTCTGCTTCTATTTTGGCACAATGAATGTCCTGGAGATTCCCCAAAATAGCAATAACAAACTAAAAGAAGAGGATAGGGAAAAAAAACACAGTACGCTTGATGAAAATGCCAGTTTGCTGGCAAAAAGTCTTGCCGTACATTGTGTGCCTTCACAAAAATAGAACCTATCAACTGCAATGGGGATTAAACTGGCAAAACCTTCCAGTTACAAGTCTTTCGAACATTACACAACCCTGCCTGGGGGGAAAACAGGTGTAGGGCCGGAGTTGGAAGGAGGATGTACATGACAGAAAATGAGAAGAAACAGGAGGCGGACATACTTTTTAGGCCTGTAGTCGGGGATGCTCCTGTCCAGGGAGATGCGGTCACTGAGCTGAGCGTTGTAGCCGTACTCCTCGTACTTCCCCTCAGCATCGCGGCTGTCCTCTCCCAGAGTGGCAGCGGCTCCCCCCTGGCCGAGGCCTCCGGGTCCCTCCACCAGCCCCATGGGCTTCGCTAAACCTGCCAAGGAAATGACACACCAGAGAGACAATCATACAAATGTTCGCGGACACGGGGTTGAGGCAGATGCACACACTGGCAGAGGATGAGGAGAGACAGGTGAGAAGAGAGGCCACGCAGAGGGGCAGCTGATTGACATTCCCTTGCAGTGAGAGGAGACTGGTGTATGGCAGCTCCGAGACCCGGCGGGGCTCATCCATAGGGCATCATTACACTGTCTGTCAATGAAAAAAGCTGCAAAACACCCACACAGACACAGACGTCATAGAGATGAGCAGAGCAGAGCAGAAGCTGAGAGACGCAGTGGTGGAAGGGCCAAAGCCACAACACAGACGAGAGAGGATTCATAGCGCACAGCTGTAAGTCACATACGGACTAGCAGGCTTGACGGTGCCTGTGGTTAATCAGGTCTGAAAGAAAAACTCTCTGAAACCCACACTGAGAGGGATTATGGTTATTGATGCACCTAGATTTCATTTTGCTTTGACGAGCATTCCATTAATTCATCATATTTTGCGATATATTTTGAAGGGTTTTGATTCTAATCTTAAACCAAGATGGTGAGTCTTTTATTGTTAATAAAGATATCCCTGATTCACAAACAAACAGCAATAAAAATGAATTAGGTAGGACAATAAATAATTACCACAGCGGGTGACCTTATTTTGGAGATTTTAAACATAAAGGACGATATTATTACAGTTTATATAATACACAGAATTATTATGCAGATGCCATTTTTGTTTTTGTTTTTCCTGAATAGTCACCATAATTAAGGATTTTTAATCCATCAACAGTTGTGTGAATATAAAAACAACAAATCATGACAGCAGATTTATATATATATATGAAATAATAACATTTTCCAATTTATTACGCAGGATGCAGCTCAAAAACATCAAATATAACAGGGTCTAATGAATGCAAAAAAATAAAGTGAAAACAGCTCATGCTTCATTTTAAGGATGCTCCACAGGATTTCCACTCAGGTTGAGATGAGGGGATGATGGGGGCCACCGCATTATTTTTCCTCCTTTTATTCCCATAGCAACCAGCGAGCCAATGGTGTTTTTGCAGAAAGGGATGGTGCACTGTCCTTTATAAACATCATTTTCAATTCCGCTTCTTATAACACGGCGAGAAACGAGTAAGGAACTCCGGAGTGGTTGCTTCAGCACCATTAGGGACCTTAAAGAGGCCGAACATCTCACCTCAAAATATTACATTATAATACATAGTAACATTAAATAATATTAAAGCCTCATCACTAAGCCGCATCCTTGCTAACATCTCAGCCTTGGTGAATAAAACAGTTTGAAAAAGAGTCTTAATGTGTTCCTAAGTTCACTGCAAGCATTTCTCTTTGTGACCTTGCTTGAGTGTAGACACAGCGCCTCTTTACACTCTGTTGAGACACCTGCAGCTTCAGTTACCTGTTTGCTGCTCAATAGTCTTAATTTGAATAAATTTGTCTGTTCTCACAAATCTTTTAACAGTTTTGTGATAACTCCTCAGTATTTGCAATACAGCAGTGGCTTTCATGCCTATTGCAAAACACTGCACAACTCCACGCTTTTTAATCTTCAGAAGAAACTTTTGTAATCAGACTTGTTTGATATGGAACAACCTCTTTAAGTGCGTTTCCTTAATTAAGATCACAAAGATGAAAGACTAATTAACAACCCTGTCAGAGATATAAAATGTTGGTGGAAAAACTATCTCTTCATTTGACTGAAATCCCACTGAAACTGCTAATGAAATAATGCTGAACATTGTGTAACTGTCTATTCAAATCTGAGAGGATCTCTGGAGTTTTTGACCTTTGGCTGCACCGCGGAGCAGAGCTTTCACAAGTGTGGCTCTGCTTTGTTTGCGTCATTTGCACGGCTGAGGCCTCTGCTGTGAAGCAGGATTTGAGGTACGTGAGGTGACATCAGGTTTAACTCTTGGCTTTCAGGGCTTTGACAGAAGATCGCTTCTTCCTGGGGTACACATCGCCATGGTAACTTCTCATACTCCTCATCTAACCCACTCTGGGGCACGCTATGTTCAAGATAACAATTCAGTATGTATTATAATGTGATTTGTAGAAGATCCTAATTATCAGTCTTTCTCACTTCACTTCTCACATCTTTTCCTGTTGACAGCAAAGAAAATTCAAAGCAAATGTAGTTTACTATTGGCCTTTCTATGACAATATAACCCTAAAACACATTAATAAAGCACTAAAGCTGTGTACTTGTTGACCTTTGGAATTGTGCAGTAAGCCTTCATACTGGTTTAAATGATGTTTTATAATATTTGGTCTTTACTTGCTCTCAAGGCTGTTGCAGCTGAAAGAATAAGACAAAAATTGTCTTGCACACCATAAAACTTGGCAACATCTAAGCAGCAGATTTTAGGGAAAACACAAATGTAATTTGTGAGATCTCCTCACACCTTGATGATGGGATCTTCATCCTACTACATTACAAATTCACACAGTCACTTTTTTTTTTTTTCTTGTCAGTTTTCCTTCCTGCTTTGGCTGCAGTAACAGTGTTGCTTTTAGTCTGTGATCAAATTTTCAGTTCCTTAAATTAGGTTGGGATCATAGTTTTTTTTAATCTTATAACTTCTCTATGTTTGTGATCGGTCATCTGCTGCCAACAACTCCCGTTTATGTGAACAGAAAGCCTTAAATTACTGAGTTGTTAACCAGATTTGTTGTTTGTTGTTGGTCTTAGCGAAGCCAGATAACAAAAAGATAAGGCCCCCTGTTGGTAACGTGGCTTTAAACACTGCATTATAGAAATGACTACAAATTGACTTTGCAAATGTTTTAGGGTTTTGGGTTACCCTTGCATGACCCAATCCCTGTCTCCAACCAAAAGTCTGAACACTAAATCTTCACAGACTTAACTGACATCACAACATAGTGCTTGAATGTGGGAGCCTGCAGTTACTCAAACTGGTATAAAGAGATGGAAATGGACATAAAATAGCACATGATTGCACACATGGCTTGGAGACAACCCGTTACTAATAAAAACAAAACAAAACAATAAATTAAAAAAAGGAAATTTGGACCATTTACAGTTTGATTAGATGCTCAGCTGGTCACTTCCTGTTTGGGGACATCACAGTGCCTACACAAAAGCAAGGAAGGTCATGACAACTGTCATATACTATGCGGACATTTCATTTGTTGAAAACACACAAAAAAAATCAACAAAGATGCAATAAATAACAACAACATGCACTCACTTCCAGTAAAACAACCTCGCAGATTTCTTCCCCACATCATTCATGCTTGTGTGTTGTGTGGAGGGCAGGACAACCACGTATGTGCGTCATCAATTTCACTTTCAAAGTTCCTCAGGAGAGTCTGCTGATGTGTGGACTCACGGAAAGCAGATAATACCATCAAAAAGTTCACATCTGACACCTCATGCTCTTGACAATGTGACAGCGAGACCACCCCGACTTCTGACGCACTTAGCGCACACTTAGCCTGTGAGTCAGCGAGTGTGGAGTTTGAACCTTTCTCCTGCATTCCACATCTCAGTTTTTCTTTTCCCTCTCAGTATATACAACAGCTGCCCTTACAAAGTACCTATTGTTCCATGCAGTGAGCATACAATTGTGGCATTATTCATAATAATATTGGCCCTTAAGCTTCGACAATCTTTCTCAAATTTTGTACAGTTACATCTCCTGTTTGTGGGCTTTCAGCAGCTCTAGCTTATTACTGGTGAGACGCCATCATGTACAGTATGTGATGCTTCTTTTAGCAGGACATCCTGACTATGCACTGAATCTTTTTCTTGCATACTACAGAGTGGGGTAGTGTGGACGGTAGAGAGCACCCTTTGTCTCACTGTTGGTTCATGCCTGTTTCCCATTATCTCATCAACACTGGATTCTAATCCACTCCAGTACAGTGCAGCGCTAACGCTATGGCCTCTTAGGTTTGCTCCATCTTTTTGTCTTTTGCCTTAATCCTTCTTTGTCTCTGCTCCAGGTTCACTACTTGCTCTGTTTTTCTGCCTGCTTTGCTCTGCTCCGATCCACCCTGTTTCTCCTGCCATCGTCTCACAACCTCCCCCCCACACTCATCCAGGATGCCATGCTCTTTCCCACTGCCAGCTTCCCTGCTCTGCCTCCTGCCTGCCCTCCACTCACTCAGCAGCCACGCTCCCTCTCCAGGCCGCCACTCGCCTCAGCCCTTCGCCTTCACCTGCCGTCACCTCCATTCTAACTCACCTCCATAACCTCCTTTGAGATGTGCAATTAAGCTGTTCTCAACCTTTATAAGTCTGAGTCGGTGGCCTGCATTTGGATTTTGTCAGTTTATTGTAACATTTCTTTCAGAAAAACTGCAAAATTGTTTGTGGTAAAAATGTTCTGATCTGCGTGTAACTGACAGAAACGCTGACAGAACTTCGCTGTCTCGTAGTTTTAAGACTTAATTATAAAACCACAGATTTTTCAGACCTTTGTTCCAACAACGAGCCACCAGATGTTATGCTGACCCCCTGACGACTCTATACGGCTAATTATAAGAGATATGTAGAAGCAGTGTGTGGCACCGCCATGACCATGAATTCAAACAGCGCTCGTTTCATGCAGGTACTTTCATCTTACAAAGACTTCCTGAAGAGTGGCCAGATTGGCTATCTGTGAGCTTGGTGGTGAATGAGAGCCAGTTCTTGGTTCTCAGCCCAATCATATTATACCTCTTTGGTCTAACACAACTATATTGAACACTGGGTTTAATGCGTCGGACTTAAAATACCCCTGTGCTCTCATTAAAATGACTCATGACTGTGATTTAACAAGCTGTCACTTTGATGCTATGACAGTGACATTTTCAAAAAGGGAAGGAAGAATATGAGGTGCTGCGTCAAAAATAAAGTCTGTTGGAAAGAAGCATGTTCAGACCTCCAAGGGGCTGTAAAAAATAAAATGACTGTGATGGAAAAGGAGGCTGGAATGGATGCTTAACTTTTTGTAAAAGT